ACGTATCCCCACTGCATACACTACCTGCCTATTAGTCATTCAGGCATCATTATAGTCTATTACAACATTTTTGTCCAAGTAACTGCTGTTTTACTTAATAATGATCTGGTCAGTTTCATTGCTGTATATTGTTGTGGCTGTCCTATTTTATTATTCTTTTTTGGTTAATTTTTTTAATATATCAAATTTATAAATTTAACTATATCATAGGATATATCTGGTGTCATCTGAGGTTTTACAAATTCACTGGGGTCCTTAGGATGTATCCCCCTTGCATAAGTGGAGACTACATAGACTTATCTAACAACCAGTCCTAAGAGGTGGCCTGGACCCAAGTGGAAGTCTGAGCTGGGAGTGGTAGAGAAGTTACTCATAAGTTGAGCCAGTGACTAACATTGCCAGTCCTGTGGATAATCCACTACTATTATGGACTACCAGACTATATTGGATTATTTTGCTGAATTCACGCACCTACAATATTTGAACGGCAATGGAATACCCATCTATGACAAAACTGAACAGAAAAGGGGGATAGAAATGAAGGACCATTTTGCAGTGAAACACACACACACACACACACACACACACATATCTGTATATATAAAATAGTTAGGATAGATATACAGGTACTTTCTCTTAGCTCAATGAGAAAGATTTGTACTAATAGTGTTTAGACAAGATATCATGTCTGCATCTTATACTATGAATAACTACAAAGCCAACAATATGCAACGTATTAATTATTGTAACTGTCCTATAACCTGTTTTGAAACTGTCTCATCTCTATTTCTTTTTCAATAAAATTGTTTTTTAAAAAAAGCTGAGCCAGGGGGAAAGGAATCAGGTGTTAGAAGGTGGCTGTTGGGTGCTGTCTCTAGTATCACCCTTGGTAGCTTGCGTATCATATTTTGTTTGCTACATATCATAATACCACGGGCTAGATACCATTAATGACCCCATTTTGCTGATAGTGAAACTGAGGCACTATTTACATAACATCCTGAGGTCTCAAAACTGAAAAGTATGGAAGCTGGAATGTGACAGATTTGTTCAATGCCAAAGCCTGAGCTCTTTCTGCACAGCTCTATTCATTCTAGGGGTGGAGACTACTCCTGGACCTCTGCCTGTCTTTCTCCCTGCAGACCTGGAGTCAAGGCTCCCTGGAAGTACACAGAGCACTCCATCACCCCCCAAACAACACACATACTCATGCACAACGGACACACCACCCACTAACTTAGTGGGCACCTGGCAAGCAGAGAGATGGCCAAGTCCATTAGCACCGCGGAGCACAACACATATGTTATGGCCCCAATTACAGCCTTCACCTCCTGCCACAGTGAAGGAGTAGGAATTGTGGTGGGGAATTGTGTGCGCTCGGGTCTGAGGCCTCTGTAACAACAGCTACAAGATTACAAAGATGTTAGCAAACCCCGGTGACGGCAGCTCTGTTATAATGATGAATCTGCAGCTTTATATAGAAATAATGAGACTGAGGGTAGGCGAGTGGGGGAGGGGAGTGGGTGCTTTTAGGCAATTGAAGCTCTGGTTGGCGTGGCAGTGGCAAGACCCTGGAGATGCCCAGGAGACCACTGGGGACCCTAGTCATTGAGGCAGGAGGGAGGGCAGCAGTGTCAGGGCAGCCGAGCCCAGCCCGGGGCTGGCATGGATACAATGAACTCCCTCTGTTTCCTTCTCAAGCTGAGCTTTTTGATTCAGTGGAAGACCAGACGCCTCAAGCTTGCCTAGCAGGCCCCCTTTGCCTGCTTCTCGCCCTCTGGCTGGCGCTGTGTAGGAGACTCTAGGCCACCCAGGCCTCCCTCCAAGTCAGCCTGGAAATAGAGGGCTGCAGGCCCTTGTGGCTTATGATCTGCAGCCGACAAAGAACAAGCTCCGGGGTGTTTACTTTCTCTTCACTAGCCTTGAAGCTCAGTGATTACTGGCTAAGAGAAAACAAGTGTCAAGCCTTGCTACTTCAACTCTAGGGCTAGGGGAGGGTCCCGCCTGGCTCCACACGCCAAGCTGCCTCTGCCTCTCCCAAGAATCACTAGCACATCCTTCGTGGCACTTGTGTGACTGCAGCACAGGCCCCTGAGTGCCTGTCCTGCTCAGCCTGAGGGCCACTGACTCTCTGCTCTGGTCCAGACTGTTAGATTTAACTGCCGATTGACTACTTCTAAGCAGTCCGTCCCGCTGAACCAGGCGCAGGCTGGGTCTCTTCTGACAAAGCCCAGCTCCACCCATTTTCTTCCAGGAGCTTTTCTTCCAGGAAGCCTTCCCAGGTTAATCTCACCCATGTCTGGCTGTTTCCCGATGATGCTGCACACCAGCGTATAATTTTAATTGAATTAAGTCAACATCAGTCATCCAAGAGGGCATGGAGTTCTTACCTCCAGGCCAGAAGGAAGATGCCTGAGAAAGTCAACTGGGACACAGCCATGCCTAAGACCGCCATCGGGAGGAGCTAAGGACCTTGCCAGGCAGAATATGCTAGGGATACACAGAGAATACTCAGCGATGGGTGCATGGAGTTCTGGGAGGCTTTGGAGGGTGGATTGGTTTGGACTGGGAGGAGGCGAGGGTCAGGCCTGCTTACTGGAGCCCTTGTGAGTGAAGGGAGGAGGCAGGGATGCCACACATGATGAGGGACCGGCCCTATGTGGCAGAGGAGCTGCCATTCTGAGCTCAGGCCCAGCATGTAACTTTGGGGACAAAACCGGGACACAGAAGTGAGCGGGGTGTCAGCTGCACCCATCTGTCCCCATCATACTGGCTGCAGGATTTCTTACCCCCTGAATGCTCAGACAGTGTCAGTGCCTGTGACTTGGGTCTCCCAACCCCCAAATAATCAGATTTTCACAGCCAGCCCTGCAAAGCAGGGAGAAGCACCAGCCTCTTATAACCCCTCCCCCTCCTTAGCTGGGGTACTTGCTTGCCAGGGCCTGCGCCTGAGGACTGAGCTCTGAGGCCTGTGCTGGGTGGGCAGCTGGAGGCTGGAGGCTTCAGGGGCTCACCTGAAGGAGCACTTTCCTCAGACTAACTGCATGTGAGACAGGTGGGTGTCCATAGCCCCATCTCCACCACTTCAGAGATGCCCGGCCTGGACTCCCCCTGTGCCTGGCTGGCACGCAGTCCCTTCCTCCTGGCCTCTCAGGTTATTTGTACCCACCTCTCCCCATCTAGTAAACTAGATTTCCCTCACCTGGGTGGCTTTCTTAGCTGTCCTTGCTCTCAGGGCTCTTGAAATGGCACACAGTAGATAGGACTTGCTGGCTTGCTTTGCCAGCTACTGACCAGCCATGCCATGTCCCATGAGTCAAAGGGGCTCCCCCACCCCTGCCCCAGTGCCTGACACAATCTTCTTAGGAGGTACAGAACAGCTATAGTGATACTGAGGAGGATGAGAATGGTGAGGGGTTTTCTGGCACCCTCTTTAGGCTCTGCCTTTTCTGAAGCTGGGAAAGAGAGACAGGAAGCTAACCCAATAGCCATACAGTGCCAGGATGTGGGAAGTTCTACCCAGGTGTGGAGGGTGCCTGGGCATACACTGCCTTCTGCCTGGAGCTGAGAGCACAGGACAGGAAGGTGGGGACACTGGTGATAGCCGGAAAAGCCTCCACTCCCTTCATAGCGCCAGCCTTCACCATCCTGCATGCTGAGCTGCCTTTCTCCACCTGTGCGGTCGCCGTAATGAAGATGCTGCCTTAGGAGACAACAAAGGAAGAGCTGCACCAGATGTAAACTTCAGAGTGATTTCTGTGGCGGAACACCTGGCCTGGGCTGGTGCGCAGCTGCTGTGTGCCCCACCCCATCTGCCCGCCCCATCTGTCTCCAGGCCCTGCCGGCTGCTCAAGCTGTTCTTGAAGATGCCACTTGAAGAAAACAGAGGTGGGAGAGGTGTGGGGACATCAGGCCAGTCAAAGTCAGTGCTGGCTACGAGAACAAGGCAACACTGAGACCCTCCCCAGGGCAGAAGCAGAGTAAATCAAGATTTGTGTGCCAATGGGAAATCAACCAGACTGATTTTCAAAGTATCTTTCCTTGCAAATTCAACAGAAATTTTGAGTATGAACTATCCAAAAATCAGAGTCTACAGACGGTGTTGTGTCATTCTTCTGGCCAGAGAGAGGGCATGAGAACCTGAGGCCTTGCATATTAAGGGCTTAAGCACTACCTTAAGAATAGCCATGACAATTAGCACCCAAGACCCTAGATTCAAAGCCATCAGAGCTGAGTATAAGTGTCCCTGTGGGGTTCTGAACTGCCCTAGTGCTCTCAGAGAGGCACATACCAGCTACCCCATGAGATGTGCTCTGTGGCCTCACATCCAAGGAAACTGCATGCTAGCACAAATGGGGACTCTGGGTGACATAATTTCCAGTCTTCAGTGCCAGACCTGTCCTCCTTTCCCTTAAAATCCACTTTGAACCTCAGCTACTTGAGACCTTCCCTGGCTAATTCTAGGTGATGGAGAAAGCCTGGGATCTGCCGCTGTGTACAGATTAGTCACTTCTCTTGAGCCAGCCTTGCCCACGTCCCAGACTGCCGTGAAGACACCTAACACAAGAGTTCATCCTCACCGGCACAGTGTGCCCTTCCCTGCCTACCCCAAGAGTCTACTACACATCAATGCCTGAAGTAGGTGATGCTGTCTGATTCAGTCTATGGGCCTGGCCCAGTCTTTACTCAGAACCAAAGGAATATATAATGTTACAGATGGCCAACCTGAGGCCTTGCAGATTGAGAACTACTCCACATGTCAACAGAATCAAAAGATAAAAATTTACTTGCTTTTCCACTCACGTGGGGACTCTTACTCTCCACCTCAACTTAGGCAGAATGTAAGGACTCCCCCAGGGGAAGACCATTGGGCAATTTAGTTTCCCTTATCCTGAAAGACCGAGGCTCACGTGTCCCTAAGGCTTGGAAAGTGGACACATGTCCCCTCCTACTCTGCGCCACGAATCCCCAGCCAGCCGAGGGAACAGAGCTGTACTCACACTGGTCGCGTACTGGATGTCTTTCCAGATGGAAGTTTCCCTGGACAGGTCAGAAGCTTCAAAGAGGTTGTCTAGGATGACCTCCCCAATCATGTCGTGGCGGGAGAAGCGGTCGAAGTCAAAGACACTGAGGTGCAGCTTGCGGTCAGCCAGTTCCTCATAGGGCACAGGGAAGTGGAAGTTCTCATCGAAGGTGGGGTTCAGGGTCTTGCGGTGCACCCGGGTCTGCAGCTTGCACTTGCGGTCGGGCAGGAGGTAGATCTTGACATAAGGGTCAGAACTTCCACAAAAGTCCTTGGCGGGGAGGTCAAAGGCTTTCAAGATGCGCACAATCAGGGTCTCACTCTCATAATCGTAGCGCAGACTGAAGTTGATCTTCCCGCAGCTCTTGGCAGCCTCTGACTTGGCATCCTCCCCATCCACCGACTTCTGCTTGTAGAGCTCAGGCTTGATGCGGCCAATGCTGGTAGGCTGCTCCGCGGCTGGTGGCAGCTCATTGCCGTAGTCTACGCTGGAGACGTGCATCTGCCGTGGCAGGTGGCGCTTGAAGGATGTGTGCCTGGCAGAGCGCAGGAGGGGCAGAGAGAGTGTGTCAGCGCCCAAGGATGGGGACACAGGAAGAGTCAACCTCGGTGGCACTGGATCATCCCGAACCCTGTAGAGCCCCTTTTCCCGCCCCCTTATTGATCCCACTTTTCCTCTCCACACAATTTGTGCACAAGGTGGCTGGAGCATTAATGTATGTAAAGTGGTTGGAATGGTTCCTGGTACAAGCTCAATAAATGTTAGCCATTGTTATAATCATTTTCCTGCTTTCTAAGTTTTTTTTTCCTAGTAGGCAAACAAATCATTTTCCTGCTTTCTAAGTTTTTTTCCTGGTTCCTCTGTTAATGCATGAGTCCCGTAGTCTATGCTGGAGACGTGCATACACAGTTCCCTGGAATGTGAAGGAGCTCTCCACTATCCTCACCACGGTCACCATCACCACCGCCACCGCCACCACCTCTGCCACTGCCGCCACCACCGCCGCCACCACCACCACTACTGCTGTACCACCACCACCACTACTGCTGTTTATTATTTACTTGACAGCAGTAGAGCGATTGGAAGCACAGGCTTTGGAGCCAGACTCCATGGCTTAATTTTGGCTTTGCCATTTTCTTGATATGCAACGTTGCACAACTTATTTAAATTCTCTAGCCATTAGAATAAGAATAAAAGTAATTGCCTAGAATTGCTGTGAGGGTGAAATACATTAATACATGTATGGCATGAACTATATAATACTAAGAATTAATCCAGGGGTATAATAAATCAATACACGTACTAGCTCTTAGGATCACGTGGATGCTTTACTTGGTTCTGCCCGAGTGTCTGTAAGAGTCATTAGCTCCATGTTATAGTGGGGAGAAGTGAGGTCCAGAAAGGTGAGCAGCTTGCCCAAGGCACTCTCTTTCTGGGCCCCCAGTCTGAACACCAGCTCTCCTTCCCTATGGTGGGAGGAAAAGTTCAGGGACCCAGCAATCCACAGGAACCCCAAGTTTTGAGCATGCGTTTTAGTTTTGAGTAGCTATGATGTCGTATACCTGGATGTACCCTACCTTTTAAAGGTATTTCTTATTTTAAAGTAAACATTTTTGTCAATATGTGTTTGTTGGTAAGTATTGTTTGGAGTGAAAGGGTGCCACATAAACAACTGCTCTCATGCAGAGAACCCTAAGAGGTTTGAAAGGTATCCTCCTTCTCGAGAAGGACCCTCTTGCCTTACTTCCCACGCCCTGTGGGCTCTCACTACGCCAGGCTTTACTAGCATGTCTCCAAACATACCATGAACTTTTTCACCTCTGGGTCTTTACATATTCTCTTCCAACACCCCCTCCACTCCCCTCCTCTGTCTCGACCACAGCCATCCCAAGTGTATGCACCCCACAGCACAGCACAGCACCCCAGAGGGTCCCCTTTTGTGACCTCTCTCCCACTGCCCACCTCCTCTCTGAGCACCCACCATGCCTCACCTCATCTGACCCACTCCTCACTCAACACGCACTGTTGTCTCTGCTCTCTGATTTTCCCAGGCTGAAATCTCATTAATGCACTGAATATGGACATGCAGGCATGTGAGGCTTAGGAAGAAAGGGAGGGCCACACTTCTCACCTGGTGGATGACGCTGGCTCTGTGGTCTGTCGCTGCAGCCGTGTGTGACGCATTATGTGCTCCTTCACTGACATCTGTACCTCGGCTGGGATATCTGGGGATGTGTGGCTGATCTTCACAGCTGCCTCCAGGAAGCCCAGGGTGCTGGGGTCCTTCAGCTTGTCCGCCATGTTGCTTCTGAAGCAGGGGCTCTGGAGGACCTCTAAATGAGGGTTAGCAGAAGAGGGGCTGGAGGCCTCCTTGTTCCTCCAGGGCGTCCAGCACAGCTTCCAAAAGAGAAAGAGAAAAACTGCCACCAGGGCCACGCCACACACAATAACTACCACGGCAAGGAGGCTGACAGAGGTGCCTGCCCAGCAAGCACCAGACAGGGAGGGACAGAAACAGACAGAAGCAGGAAGAAGCAGGTGAAGGTGTTGGCAGAGGGTGCACACGGAAGGGACAAAGACGGAAGAAGAGAAAAGAATGGTCATGAGCAAAACTGCCAAGGCAGGAGAGAGATGACTTTCAGGGTTGACTCTCCATGTTCCATTTTGTGAAGTCTCTGTGGCCTTCCATTCTCCTCAGCCTGATTTCTCCAATATCACCTCCCCACCAGCAGCTTGAGGAGCGCCCCAGCTGCCTGCTCTACCGCTTCCTTGCATGTGTGCAGGGAAGGGAAAGTAATTTAAATGGCAGACTAAGCAAACGTGCAAGTTCGTGAAGCGTTCATGTTTGGATGCTGTTTGAATTTCGATCAGAGCCATTCCTATGGCCAGGCTCTCTTCCGCCATGGGCTGTGAGGATAACTCCCTCCTTTCTCCTCCTTGTCTCACCCCCTTCAGGCCCAATAAACTCGGAGGACTTCTAGGGCACCGGGTCAGCTGCATATCCTTGAGGGCAGGGTTGGCTTTGAGAGCTCAACAGATACTTTATCAAGTTGGAATCTGACCCCTTGCAGTATATGTCCAAGCGAAATACAAAATACAAGGATTCTAAGGGCTGCTCTTCTCTGTGTCTGTGGCCATGATAGTGCCCTGCTGTAAAGCTGGTTGGCTGAGCACTGGAGCTCATTTGGAGGTGGGCACCCACCCGTACCCAGCCTGCTCCTGACCCAGAGCATGCCCACAACCACGGGCGTACCATACAAAATACCTCTCTGTGAGAAACCATTCAGTAGATCTCCCTGCCCAAATCTGAGAATGCACCTTTAAGTCTAAGGCCTTTTTCTTCTCTGAGAAGTTAGAAGGCTCTGAACCTGTGGTAACCTGTCAAGGGCTGCACAAAAGTCACCCATGCTAAGTGCTAAGTGCTCTTCAGTAGAAGAGTTTAGTTGGTTTGGGCAATGATTGAGAAGCTGAGAAATTCTATAATCGTCACCAACCCAGATTCTCTGGAAGAGGGCGATGACTTAGTAACCAGACCCGTTCCTGCACAGCAAGAAGTGGTGGCTCCCTCTGTATGGGTGGGTCCTCACCAGCTCAATCCATCACTCCTTGTGCCCTGCCAAGTCCTGCAGGCTATAGATGCAGCCTCTAGATTAGCCTGTTCTGTGCCTTAAAAATCTCAGGACTCACAAGCAAGAAATGATTTCACAAAGACAGAGACCAGATTTTACTTTTATGTATGGGAGCTGTGGCCCCGTGGATCTGGGATCACAGGCTGGTCAAGTACAGAACCTATACCAGGGTCTAGACATCTACTGTCCAGCCTGGCACTCTTTCCACTGTTCTGGTCTGACTGTCCTGGATTAAACTACAGACTCTCATAGGCCACTGTGATCCTGCATTTTCACATTGTTCAACTCAGGAACTAGCTTGGAAACAGGCACATAGTTGCGAGTGAGGGAATGAATGAATGGAATATAAAAGCTACGGCTCTCTCCCGTTTCCACTAAGTGGAACCAACATCTCCCGAGCACTTAGCAGGTACTAGGTTGAGCTAGGCTCAGAGGTTGAAAGTGAGCAGGTTCCTCCTATACACAGGCCCCAGGAAATCCAGCTCACACCCAGAGGGGGCCGAAAAGGCAGGGAGGACGTCAGCCACCCTCTCTGGGCACAGCACTGTCTCCCAGCTTCCTGTTGTCAGTTACTCATCTGGATCAGCAATCAGGGACCTCTAGGAAGGGACCCAAGCCTCCTCCTGTCACCTTCCCAGCCCCTGCACAGAGACACTAGAGCCAAAAACGCTGGGGATAGTCCTTCTGGAGACCACCGAGGACCAGGAAAGCTGATTCTAGAGTACCTTCGTGGCTAACGGCCCTGGATGTGATACGCCTGTGCCTCAGGGGCACACGCACACACAAAGATCATTTTAGTATTCATGATCATATATAAGAAATGAAAATTTTAATATATGGTGTGATAGTAATAACAGCACTTTATTATAGCATTTAATTAATTTATTCAACCTCACTCTGTCCAAGGTTTAAAGTGCTTTTTATATGTTTCCTTGCTTAATCTTTTCCATTGAACCGGTATGATAAGTGCAGAAACAGACGTAGAGAGTGCTAGGTCATGCAGCTAGTGAGGAGGGGACACAGGCTCTGGCCCAGCCAGTCTGGCTCCGCAGTATCACCTGAGGACATGTACCTGTGCATAACCTGGGGACAAATGAACAGGTATCGAGGCAATAATTCCATTTCTTTCTGTTATGGAGTCCTAATCTCCTTGGCTTTCAGACTATTTCTCCAAGCCCTTATCTTACTGGGCTCTCCAGAAAAACTACTACAGACATACGCATCCTTCTTCTAAGTATCTGGCCATTGACAGAGCCTCCCCACCTGTTCTGTGTTACGGCTCTTCTGCATGCATTCTCTGCCATCCGAGCCTCCTAAAACAAAAGGTATTTCTAGGGCCTTGCTTTCCTTTGATCATACGTTTTACTTGCTCTGTTAATAATTAGAATTTTAATGAGAAGGGGGGCTGAGGGGGAATCTAGAGAGCGTAGAGTGCATTTAAATGTTCAGTCTGACAAAAAAAAAAAAAACACCCTGAATTTATAAATGAAAAGAGAGATGGGGGAAGGGTGGGCCAGGAGAATAAGTTTTTTCTCGGTGTGGTTGCTATTTCTATTTCTTCTCCACGTGGCCCCCAGCTGTTGTTCCCTTGGAGCTGTGATAAGGGGAGCCAGAGGGTATGGATTATGGGGAATCAGTACTCAGCACTCAATACTGGGTAGAGAATTCCAGGAGGCCCATCCTATGCCTGGGGGAGCCTGAACTTCACTTCTTGCGGACAGGCAAGGAGAGGACAATTAGATCCCATGCAGTGCAGGGAGGGGCTCACCCATGCAGGGGTACAAGGTAGTGACCAGGTCAGTAGGAGCAGAATCAGGCTGAGGGGGCAAGTCACTGTAACTCAGCCGCCTTCGCCGCCTGGTGTGTTGTCAGTTTTCTGTCACTGTAACAAATACCCAAGATAACTGGCTTATAAAAAGAAAAAGTTGTTTTAGCTCACAGTGTGAGAGGCTGCAGTCCATCCTCACTGGTTGGCCCTGTTCTGGCTCCCACAGCACCTCATGGTGGAAGCATGTGGTAGAACACAAGTGCTTACCTCATAGCCAGGAAGTGAAAGAAAGAGAAAGGGGGCCTACTGGCCCCTTCAAGGTATCACGCTCAATGACTTGAAGACCTCCCACCGGGATCCACCTTGGACAGCCAACTGCTACACCCTGGGAAACAAGCTTTCAGCGCGTGGACCTCTGGGGACATTCCAGGTAGAAATGATAGCACCTGGTTGAGGTGCGCTGAGGCAGAGAGGGCGTGTCAGCTCCCACAGTTGCCCAAAGCCTGTGCATGATCCTAGATCACTAAGATGTGTGCCATTCTGCCTCGGGCTTTTGGGGCCAACCCATCAGGACCTATTTGCCCCCTAGAAAGTCATGGGTGCTCAAATAAACTTCACAACATCTTTCCATTCATATTGACTTTGAACTTTGACATCCCCACCCCCAGGCAGACAGAACTCTAGTTGGGTAACTGTCACCTTCTCAGTCCTGATCCAGCTCTCTTCCTATGTATTCCACGCACAAGGCTCAATACCAGAGAGATGACCTGCGATAGCACTGAAAGGAGAAAGTGCTTCCTCATTATCTGTATTTTTTTTTTTTTTTCTGGGAATCTTTTTCCTTATTTGCCTTTCCACACACAGAGAAAGAAGCATTATGGTGGAGTCAAACAAGGTTCATTCAGGGTCCAGCTTCCATGGCTTTAAGCTGTGTGATTCAGAGAAACTACGCAATCTTAATTTTCTCATCCATTAAAATGGGAATAATAATGGTGTTTGCCTCAAATGGGTCATTGTAAAGTTGAAATGAGATTAAAAGAAAGAAAGAAAAAAAAAAGGAAATGAGAACAAAGGCATATCAAAAATCCTGAGAACTGCACCCACAGGGTCGTGAGTTAGCTGTATACACATACTAGCTATTTTACCGGAATCACCTATGTCCAGTCTAGTTCTAAATATTCTCTAGTTTTAAACTTGGTTTGGGGATCGGAACACCTGCAAGCCATGAATACTAGTGGAGATAACTTTATCATTACAAACTAGGAACAGTCTTACTAGTAGAAAAGATATAATAACTATTTCATACACAGGCAAGTGTCTCTGCAAAGTTTTCTTGGAAATTTAAAGAAATAAACGCATGATTCGTATAAGTCATGACACATCTTCACTCAGGTATCAGAGACATTCCAGTAGCCCATAGATGTCTGCTTTGGGAAACCACAGTTGCCAATGGGACAAAAGAGAAAAGCTATAGAATTAGGCTTTGGAGACCTACATCAGACATGAGGTGTTGTCAGGGGTAGGTAGCTTTTATGTCTGGCTGAGGAGTTGGATTTTACAAAGTGCTTAGACACAGGGCAGACATCTCAGGTGGGATCAGGCTAGAACCACCACAGAGTCCATTCCATCCACATTGCTTTCTCATTGTGTAACCTAAACAAGCTGTCTCACTGCTCTAGATCTCGGTTTCCTCGTTGGCCTAGTGTGGATCCTTATCCTTACCTCATAGAATCATTGTTAAGTGTTAAGCTATGACTTTGAGCCTCTGATACAAGACGAATACTCCAAAATATGTTATTGTTCTTTATGATTTTTCCTTTTGGTGGAATTTAATAGTTTACTGTGTACAGAAAAACCCAAATCTAGGCCTCTAAGCCAGAGAAAGGAGATGCCCAGTCAGAAGGCAAAGCATCTGAGGGACCCCAGACCCCTATTATCTCCTAGGAAGTCAAGAATTCCCTGAAGGCCACCAGGATAGGACCTGCTTGTCACCTTAAATGAGACTAGTAAGGGGATGGCCCATGGCCTCCCTCCCCTTCTGCAAACTGCTAGGCCATAGATTAGTATCCCGGGGCTTACTTGC